GAGAGAGAGAGAGAGAGAGAAAGAAAGAGAGAGAGAGAAGGAGAGAGAGAGAGAGAGAGAGAGCAGAGCCGTTATACTAAAGGAAATGGGCTATCACAAAATCACACATTAAAATTTATGAAGGCGAGCAGGTCATAGGTTATGGTCACAGGAGCATCTTCACTATCCGAAAGGTTTAATCGTCTTTTTGCACTTTTATGCTTTTCGTAAAGCCGAGAATGTCAGTGTGTGGTCTGGGGTCTTCTGTGGTAATAATGAAGGCTGTAAAGCGCGTAGGGCTTGCTGTTGAGCGGGGATATGCGCTATACAAATGCTATTTATTATTAAAACAATACAAACACAGTAGTTTAAGTGTATGTAAGAGACAAAACCTCTGAATTTAAGGTACGAGTCTGTCTCAGAATAAAGTTTCCCTCCTCGATAAAATCAAAAGTGTGCAACCAACATCCACTAAATTTTGTGACGTCATGACATCATGTCTAAGAAATCTCAACGTCAAATTGCAAGTGCATTGGTGAACGGGTCATAGAGCTGGGACGTGTCAAGTGCGGTGTTCTCGTGCACTTTGTCCAACGCAAATCAAATTCGAGGAAAATGGCAGAGCAAAACATTGGTGCAACATTCTCATGCTACAGTGTCCGAGTTGTGATCAAATTTTCAGCTCTTCTTGGCAAGTCTGCAGCTGAAACCCGCGGTGATCTATATAAAGTAATGGGGAATAATGCCTCATCAATTCAAACAGTAAGGAAATGGACAAGGGAGATTTAAGGTGGGAGTTCTGGCATGAAAGATGGAGCGCACACAGAAAACACGGGCACAGAAAGGTGATGCACATTGTTTTCTTCTTGTCATGAGTGTCATCATAATGAGCTGGTTAGTCACCCCTGGAGTAACTGTCAATGGTGACTACTACAGGTTCGTCCTCAAAGTAGACATGCTGACACCCATGATTCGGAAAAAAAAGATCCGCTGTGCTTGAAGACAGCGTCATCCTGCTTCATGACAACGCGCCTGTTCACAGGCCCAGAGTTGGGAACGCGCTTTTTGAGGGCTACTCATGGGAATTATTGGAACACCCGCCCTATTCGCCAGATCTCGTTCCATGCAACTCCCACCTCTTCCCCAAGCCCAAGGTGAAAGAAATACTGCGAGGTCGACGATTTGAGGACGAGGACCAGATTCGAGAGGCTATGATAAAGGCACTCGGGACCATGGACAAACGATCACTGACCACTGTCTTTGACCGCTGCGTACATCAACTGAAGAAATGTCTTGAACTTGTCCAACGTTGAATAGGTATTTGAATAGGCTTTCTGTTGATACCAAATACAAGGTGATTGATAATTATATGTGAGGACAGCATGACAGGGAAACTTTATTCTGAGACAGACCTTGTACTTCCACGAAAAAAGTAGATCGAAGCCGGCGGGAAACCTTGAAACTCCCAAAACAAGCAAAGTTCAAGAGTGTCCCACTTGGGATTCGGACATGGGTCATCTGCTGGCTTGAGGTCAACATGAGAAGAAGAAGAAGAAAAAGAAGAAGAAGAAGAGGAGGAGGAAGAGGAGGAGGAGGAGGAGGAGGAGGAGGAGGAGGAGGAGGAGGAGGAGGAGGAGAAGAAGGAGAAGGAGAAGGAGAAGGAGAAGAAAAAGAAGAAGAAGAAGAAGGAGAAGGAGAAGAAGAAGAAGAAGAAGAAGAAGAAGAAGAAGAAGAAGAAGAAGAAGAAGAAGAAGAAGAAGAAGAAGAAGAAGAAGAAGAAGAAGAAGAAAAAGGAGAATAAAAGGAAAAGGAGGAGGAGGAGGAGGAGGAGGAGGAGGAGGAGGAGGAGGAGGAGGAGGAGGAGGACGAGGAGGACGAGGAGGAGGAAAAGGAGAAGGAGCTTTTTAATGTTTGAATGTTTGCAGTCGCTTCAATTTAGATCATTCAGGAAGCCAGCTGCTTCGCCCTACATGTCACTTAGTTTTTTAAAGAGTTTTACAGCTCTTGCAACACAATAAGGTCATATTATAAGTGCCGAAGATTAGAGGTGTAACAAGAGAGTAACAAACACAAAAAAGGAGGAAAGATCAGGACGATAGATGTTTGATATGAAAGAAGGAGCAAACCACACCTGAGAAAATACAATTGCAGGGGCAAGAGCGCCCATCTTTATTTATTATAAAACGCAGTAGAATGACTCAAACTTACAGGAAATCAATGATGCTGAGACACATATTACATGTATAATGTTTAGCGTCGTAATGTAACACATGTACTCAAGTTCAAGGCAAACATTCTTCGACAGTTCTGAACCCGTGACAAGGAGAGCATAGAAAATATCACAACCCCAAGTGCACCATCACAATCTGATTGACAAATTGTAAGTGACTGAATAAATTTTACACATCCACTGACTTAATTGGGTCAAATAGGAAGCGGGCTGCTTAGTTCCTCCATATCACAGTCAAACTGAAATGTGTGTAGTACCACAGTTGAGCAGGAAGATAAACAAAAAACTTGTTAAAAGGTACCCCCTTTCAAGGGAATTAAACTCACAACTTCTGCAAGGTTAAGATCCTATAACCATTAATCCACAGGATTACTCTCTTAGTCTGAGATTCGGAATCTTATGTATACAACAGTAACTGTTCACAACTGATAATGGTTTTGTAAGCAGAGACAGTTTGGAATGCATGTAATTTATGATTATCTTTCTTCAAATACTGGAATGTGAGGATGCACAATCTAATATCATCATTTGATGACTTATCTAGCACCAGTAATTGGGTTACACCAGGTAATTCAAATTGAAATCCAAAAAATCAAGTAACCAAAAGTTTGTTCCCTGTATTCCAGAATGTAATGTGTTGAAGAGGTATGTTGCATCTCATTTGCAAGAGTTACAAAGAACTACATCACACTGTGCCAAGGAAACAGGCATGCTGACTGATATCAGACAAAGAGTAATATATAAGTTACAGAAATAGACATGTTCCAACCACCCACATTTTTGTTTCTTTCATTCTCATTTCTAATCTTGGTTCTATGAAAGTGCTACATCTATGCAGGCACACTGTTGCCATAATTACTTCTGATGTATATGACTGAAAAAGGGTAACGAATTTGTGAATGCAAGTACAATGAAAGTACATGTATGCAAATGAGAGAGACAGAGAGAGAGAGAGAGAGAGAGAGAGAGAGAGAGAGAGAGAGAGAGAGAGAGAGAGAGAGAGAAAGAGAGAGGCAGAGAGAGAGAGACAGAGAGAGAGAGAGAGGGGGTGATGGAGAGGGGGGGGGAGAGGGAGAGGGAGCATGAGAACAAGTGCAAAAGCAATAGCTAGAGCGAAGCAAAGAAGCAAAAATGCTGTTGATAGAAAAGTAAGAGGTTCAGAGAAACCAATGAAAGGAGAAAAACATTTTTTTTTACTGCCAAGCTTAATAGGTATAAATGCTGCATATTGTGTACTGGGTTGTAAGCAACAAGATAAGGGGGACCTACTGATTATGAACTTGGTAGACAGGGCAAGACAAAGGCAAATATAGTTCATGCATAAAGTTAATGATACTACTGATAATAGCAATTCTTCACAAAATATTAGCATTTGATCCTTTGTATTAAAAACCACAACTAATCATGTTATAACTAGACTGATTGAGGCTGGAACCCAGTACAGTTAAGCGTCAGTAGCCTCACAATTTCGTGACCTCTCTGCTTACTTGTCCTATCTCCATCTTTTTTAAACATTGAAAATATGACTTTTTCTTATGCTCACTCTTTGTTACGAACTGTTTTCACTATTATCAAAAATGGAGATAGGACAAGAAAGCACTGGAGTCGCGATTTCTTAATCCATTAATAAAAGTATAAGGGTTAAGACAAAAAATTTTTTTTTAACTGGACTGCACACATTAACTGACAATAACTCTCTTGGCTTGGAACTTCTTTCCTCAATATTATCTTTAGTCTCTCTTGGATATGCAGTGTCAAAGACTCTAACTATCTTTGAAATGTTATTCCATAAACTGAAAAATGTGTGGTACCTATTTTTAACATGAAAGAAGAGAAAAATAGGATAATTAATAATTGTTCTGAATGGGCAACATCCTACCAAGCAAAGTTGGGAATCGAATCCAACATTTGATGCTTTATATTTCTTACTTAAAACACATATAGAAGAATTTTTTTTACAAGCTGCAGAAGGGACAAAATGAAAAGACTATGGCTAGAGTCTCCCAGACGATGCAGATAATGGCAACTATCACAAGGCAGGCCAGAGGAGGGCAATGTAATGTAGTAACAGGAAAAACAAGAGCATGTTAGTGTTATGATAGTGCTGCATCTACAATAGGCCCTAATTGCCTTATACCAATTATCAACAGGATGAAAGCAAATAATAGGATAAAGTCCTACCCAGGAGCATGGAATGATTGAAGACCTGATACTCAAAGTGTATCAAAAACTGTAGGCTACATGTCAATGAAAATCAAGTCAATTAAAAATGACCTTTGATATATGACCTATATAGTCTCGTCTTTTCAAACTTTAGCCTTTTGAGAATAGGAAATCAATTAGAGACAGGACTAAAGTACAATTAACCGATTCAGCCCGTAGTGCTACTCACTGTGGTAGATTGTCTTAGTGTTTTGACACAGCACCTCTCAGAGCGGCTCTTATCTATTGCTCCCTTTCTTCACATCACTTTGCTCCCTTTTTTCCCTTACCACTTATATTTCAACCCTTTTCTGGTGTAATTAAATAGTATTTTTTATTTTGAAAATATCTAGATGCCAAACAAAGGGTTTCATCAAATTTAAATATTTCTTTATTAACTTTTTGTGAGACCACCCATGTAGTCACGAAGTAATTACAAATAATTTGTGTCAGGAGTCAAAACTATCTGCAGGCCGAATCAGTTAATATGGTCCAGAAAGCTTTAAGTACAACTCTTTATTAAGAGAATAGATCTATTCTTACGTTATTTAACCTGTGTCATGACAGAATAAATAAACATGACGAGTGGAATTAGAAAAAAGTCCTCTAAAACCGATTTCTTTTCACTGTTAACAAAACCATTCCAAACATCTTCTCTTCTTTGTATGACCAACGACTTGATGAATGATGATAAGAACTTTGAGCCTCATACTTTCTAGCAAGAACAACACAACATTATGAGACTAACAGAATAAATAAATGGGGATATTCACAGTGTTTGACAAAACAGAGATAAAACAAGACCTTTACAGTACAGTCTTCAAGCAAAGGAGCAGAGCTAGATATAAAAGTGAAAAAGGCACCATTCTTATTAGTTTTCCTTTTTCTTAAAGCTGATAACAGTTTTAGTTCTGTCTGAATAAACGTGTAGCTTACCGTCTCATCAAGTCCATTGAAAAGAATTTTTAAAAATGTTTCTAATGTATTATATATCATTTCTTCCTCCACCTAATTTAGACCCACAGATACCAGAGTTGTGCTTTTTTTTCTCAGTTTGATGCCCATCTGTCATTCCTGTTTACTTTGAGTTTTAGCACTTTTCTCACACTTCCATACATGCTTCATTAAAAAAAACCTACTATAATATGCTTGATTAGAGATTACACAACTGTAACAAATATTTACTTTTACATGTCTTCATTTACAACACAAACTCAAGCACTCACTCTCAGAACCCACAAAGTCAAAATCACTTTGGCATACAAGTTAAATCTATTTACAGCATTGCATTCCTTTTTTAAAAACTTTTTTACTCAGTGGGAGAAAAACATTCAAAATAAGTACCTCTCTCAAAAACTGATATTGAATCTCAAGCAAAAACAGATCTGTAGCTCAAACAGCGGGTTTTCTGGACCCAGAGTTTCGTTCCACGGCAATTTAAGCCTGTTGCTGAGCTGGAGATCCAGAGACTGGTACAGCATCCCCTGAAAGTAACATTTTTACAGGCCTTAACATTTGCTAGGTACAGAGCACTTCTTTTTGTTTCTTAACTTTTTATTTTCTTACATCTGTGTCATGATGTATTTCTACTGCTGCTTGAAATAGCTGTACACAACAAGCATTATAAGACAATTTCACCTTCTTTGGATTAAAGATTCCGTATAACACACATTCAAATTGTATCAGAAATCTACAAGTGCTTGACACATTTTGACACTTTTAAAAATAAAAACATAAGAAACAAGCCGCAAACTTTTGTTCAGGTACGGTATTCCATGTCATTTCTGTCAGCATATGAAAAATTTGTATTTGCTTTTTCAGAACTGGAAACCATATAAAAACCTGATTGAGCAATTTCTTGCAGTGGCAATAGTTTGATCCCTTTCATAAATAACAGGTAGAATATAGGGCCCAAAGAGTCGCTCAAGTCTGAACGGAAGGCATGAAATGTCTTCGTCCTCCTTCTGGGCTGTAGTCAGGGGGAGGTGTTCCAGAATTCTTTGATGTATATGAGGGAGGGGGAGTCATGGAGTCTCTACCATTTTGAACGTTGAGATCTGTCACTTCCTGTGCTGTGTTTGCGCCTGTTGGAGCATTCCTCAGGGGAGGAAGTTCGTATCCACCTACTTTTGAGCCTTCTCCATTTTTCTGAAAAAGGAAAACATAAGCAATCAAGATATTGTATTGTAAGACTTTAGCTGTATTGTGAACTCTCATTCTTATGTCGCAGTATGTAAGAACACAATCTAACAACTACTGTTTAAAGTGATAATGGTTACAACCTGTCGCAAACAGACCTGGATCCATGTAAATTTGAAAAAAAGGAAAGAAAAAGATCTAACTAACATCTGTAAAAGTTAATCCCCCTGACAAACTAAAGATGATGTTGGTTTTACTGTTGGTGTTATTACTTAAGAGTTTGTGCACTTTCAACTTTTCACTCAAGACAAAATGGTACATCCAAGTAAGTTAGGGCATTTGTGCAGTCTGAAAAAAGAATCAACAAGTAAATGATAAGACTAAAAAGAACGTTGAAAAGTCAATTAAGACCACACTGCAAGCATAAACATAATCCTCTAAGAGCAAAGACACCTTTTTAAATGAGCTGTCTTTTTCAACAGAACATATTACTCTTTGTGTTCATGTTGAGTCACGTTACGTTTTACAGTAAGTTGTCACAAAAAAGATCTAATTTACTTGAACTGCTCATAAAATCAATAAACCACTGAAAGACAAGAAGCTTTAAGGTGTGCTGTGAGTAGTGTAGCCTTGATCCTTAAGGGATTGCACACTGACGAGGACGGTCTAAAAGATGAACAAAATGGACTTTAAAACTGCAGACTCTCCAGATTATTAGACAAATGACAAGTCTCATATCAAACTAACTTTTCAGTTTTTCAAAACTTGAAATGATGGTGCCATTTCTTCTACCATGTGGTAAACTTTGTTTCAGAATTTTGATAATCAGAATCAATACTACACACAAAAATAGCCTCTGCTCTATCTATCACCTATGTGATGTTGATGTTGGCAGAAACTTGCATCATGTATTTGAAAAAGCGGGTGATACGTAAATCCCTGTTTAACTTGTACTTTTGGCCTAGTTTTTTCTAGGAGAAAGAAGAGGAACTATCACCAAAAGGAAAATTGTAAATGCCACTTGCATAATTGCTGCTCTAACATTTGGTCGTCATTTTTGGACAGTGTCTTCCTATATTTGTTTGAGCACTTTTTGTGCACAGATTAGTATGCTACTGTAACTTCTTCCAGAAAATTTAACTGTTAAACGTTGATGTAACAAATTGAAAAGTTTGCACTTTTGATTTGATAATGGTTGTAAAATGGATAGAGAATGCTGTAGAGCAATGATATGTGCTACATAAATGCAATTATTATCATTATTATTGTCATTATTATTATTATATACAGATATAAGTATTTCTTACGGAAAATCCACGATTGTCAACCCCATCAACTTTTTCAACATCAGGGTGATGTTCATGATGGTGCCTATAGACACGGTCAGCTGTAGGGTACGGTTCGGGACCAAACCAGCTCAGTATCACCGGCAAGAAGATCAACCCATGGAACAGACCATACACCACCACCAGAAAGTTCACCTAAGAAAAGGAAACAATTGCAAAGTTGTTTATCAAACCAGATTTGTTTCATTAGTTACTGCAACACTTTATAGATAACGAAATTGTTAAGTATTTTTTGTCTTAACCTTTCTTTATTTATCAATTTCGATTTGTTTAAAACCTAGTTGCAGGTGCAAAATTTTTATGAAAAGTAATGACATCCTCTGTACTATCAGGGGAAGGTCCAAGATGTAGTTTCCACCTCTAACACAGGTAAAAATATAACTCCAAATCCCCTTTCCCAAAACTCAATCATTTTATGAAAAAACATTGTATGAAAACCTTGAAAAAGGTTTGATTTTTTCTCTCTCCTTTTTATCAAAAAATAGGTTTTTGTTTTAGCAAAGTATCAATACATTTCTGACACTTATACTTATATACAAAGTGAGAGGTCAAACCGAACAGAGCACTAAAACTCATATTTTGCTGCTTTTGCCTTACCGCTATTTGGACATTATCACGTCATTAGCGGGTAACATACTAACATACCTTAAAGAAAGTTTGAAAGACGTAGCTGTTACTATTGGAGAGGAGAACAAAGGCCAGGAAAGTGCTGAAGCCGCCATAAAATACTGGAGGTCCCATTTCGCCTACTGTTTCTTTTGTCCTGGCTAGAGAAGGTACAAAAAACAAAGACATAGTTGATCAGAAAGTTGTAGTTATTGTTACTGTTGTGGATCTAGTATCTGCTGGACTTGTGCCTGTCATCCCAATGCTGTGTTGTGGGGTTGCATTAAAATTTGTCTGTTGCTTTATCTTTGCTGATTCATAATAGCAGGTGGAGACAGCAACTGATGTTGGAAAAGACTTCTCTACAAATGTTCAGCAAAGACCTGCACCCCATAAGTTACATTTATATCAAAGTAATAAATAATGTAAGTAGATGTCTATAATACATTCTGGTGACAATTTGGTTTATACATATATATCCTAATTATAGGAAAGCAAAAAAAAGATAGCAACACAATTTATTGCACTTTAAATTTATTGACATATTCACTTAAGCAACAAACTCAGTTCTAACAAAATTAGAGATCAATTCATCAACCGATCTAACATTAAACTGGGAAATTACAAAAAAGCAATATAATAAGACCTTTCTAAAAGATAAATCTTGTCGCAACAATTCTCTCATTGTTGTGTCTTGAAATTACCACAATGAATTAATAAGGGGCTTTTGCTCTTGGTCACGGAAATGAAATTAAGATTTCTTTTGAAGTGTATAAAAAACATACCCGTCCTTGTGCCGACAACTGTCATGAACATGTGTCCAATATGGGCTGAGTAGTCGACTGCCAGACCAATGGACAAGATGAGGATAATGCTGGTCACTGTGTCAACGGTCAGTCCCCAGAAGTGCATGGAGCCGGCCACATCCACCTGTGGAGAATTTTGGGTTTCTGCCATTAGTCCAAGGATTTCCTATCTATGGCACTATCTGTTTTCTTTTTAATCAGTCAGTCTGTGACCAGTCAGGCACTCTGCTATTGGATAGTAATTGTCTGTCTTTCTATCTGTCCCTTAGACTGCTACCAATCATACCACCTTCTGACATTATCTGTCTGTCTGTCTGTCGTCAGTCAGAATCACTTTTATTTGGCAGTCTGTCTGCTGCACCTGTAACCATTCACGACCTCTTCTATTTGGTAATATCATTCTACCTATTATCATTTCTGTCTATCTGCTTACTTAAAGCCTGTCAGACGCTTATCTATTGTCAATGTGTCTGATTTCTATCCTCTTTCCGACACTTGTTAAACTGTCTCCTATTGTCCATCTGTCTGTCTTCTATTCTCTGCCTGTCACTAGTAAGACAATCTCATATTGTCTATCTGTGTGACTTTTATTTTGTCTATCACTAGTTAGGCCCTTTTCTACCTGACAGTGTCACTCACCAGTGTGAACAGAACTCCAGCAAACACCATTAGACTGGTCCACAGGTTGGCAATCAGGATAAGGGTGACTAGGAACACACAGGCCAGGGCCAAAGCCAAGTTACGGTACAATTCCTCTCTAATCACCTGAAATGAAAAGCAATCAATCAATCTTCCTCTCTAAGAGCCAGAAATAAAAATGACATTGTCAATCACGGATCATCATACGTTTCTTGGCTCGCATTCTCTCAAAAAACATATTATTATCTTGATGGTTTACCATAACCCATCTGTTCGAGTTCTTTAAGTAAGTTATTCATGGTCTACCTGTGCCTTTTTCACAGTGTGTTTTTCCAGTCAGAGCAAGACATTCAACTCTTTTCAGTTAATCTAAGTATTAATAAGGAAGTAAAAAAAAAACCCAGAATCCTCCAATATCTAAGTCTATACAGAACACTGATAAATGAATCTCTCCAGATTTGAAGATATGTTTGTGCATCAGTCACAGAAAAGGGAACAGAGAAGGCTCAGCAGCAGTCAGGGTGACTGAGGTCAAACTGAGCATTAGCAGACTTTGTAATACATTCTCTGCAAAATTAGTACAGGACTACACTTCACTTTATCATAATTACTATTTTTCACACGTCTAAACCCAAGTGCAGCGTTTACTTAATTTTTTTTTCAACATAATTTCCCCATTTATCTTACTCCGCAGTAATTGTGATAAAATGAGCTGTTACTTAAACCTGTAACGCTGACAGAAAAAGAATCAAATATCAAATGTTTCTCAGTAGCAGTCATCTTGTTAAAAAAGTACTTCTTTTCACTTCTTAACCTAGCATAGACATATGATACTGATACTAGAGGAATTCAATAGGTTTTCAGTGTTGATAAGAAACCTATGTCCTAAAAGAATGTATGTACATTTAAAAAAGGCACTGGTTATTGTTAATGATCCAGGAAAAAAGACAAAGGCAAAATGTTTAAACAACATATTATGACCAGACCCAAACTCTTCACCTTGATCAAAATACGCAATTTGGGGGGGAGGAGGAGGAAACCTGCTCGGCTATTACATCTTGACATAGGTGAAGGTCATCGACAAACAAAACAAACCTTGTTGGTTTCCCAAGTCAAATATCTGCGGGAGTACGGGAAACACTCAGCATTTGAGAAACCAGCAGCCATGACTAATTCTCTTGTGCTGTCCATGGCATCGATCTCTGTGCTAGCGTCGTCCATATCAATATGACGGAAAGGAAAGCGGCTGACCTGATCAAAGATTTTAAATCTTTATGACAAGAAGTTATTTTGATTTTCATTGAATAGAATTTAACAAAAATTATAAACATGAACAATATATGAGGTGTGCTGACAAAATGAGTTACTTCTTTCGGATTTTAGCAGTATGGAAATTGATACATCAACTTTATAGATGGAGTTTATACATATAGTAAGTGTGAAATAATAAAAGACACGGTAGACTTGAACAAAATGGCATCAACTGAAAATCTATAAATCTGACCCCAGTGTTGATTTTCAGCTGATATCTCCGTTCTTGGAACGAGAGAAATAACTCATTTTGTCAGCACGTGTCACATATAATCAATGTGGAAATCACAGTACAAACCTGTATAATGACCCTTATTTGTTCCTTTTTAATTTGGGTTTGTCTTTTATTTTTGCTTTAGTATTCCACTTTCAGTCTAATGCTTTGCTAAACGAGAAAAGGAACTTTAAAGGAAGAGCATAAGGTCTAGTTGAAAGAATAAAGACACAAAAAGAAAGGTAGGAAAAAGTAGAGACTATACAGCAATGGAAAACATCACACATACATTTATTTGTCAGAGCATAATTTGTTCAAAAACACTTTCCCATCCTTGGTATCATTGAACCGCCTTTTGTTGTGCAATAGGGCTACTTGTTTTCTGTGGTGTAAGCACACCTTAAGAATAGAAGGACATGTAGCGTGAACACACCTTAATAATAGTTGTTGTGACATAGGCCTAATTTAAAGGACATATCACGTGACTGAGACCTCATGTGATTTCAGGCAAGCGGCGGGCAATCTAAGTTTCACTCACTCACTGAAGCTGAAACGAGTAACATCAGCTAACCAAGAACTAGCAGACGACCAGCAGGTGGGGCCCCACCAACATCAACTACCATCTAGATCTACTACTCCAAGACTCAAGTAAGTCGTAACATAACATTATCCCTCTTGTCCCCAAACCAACATCCCTAGATCCCAAGGGGCAGCTGGTCACAATACAGAAGTGTATAGTAATTCATAGTTTAAAGAAAAGCTAAGGGCCTACAAATAACCCAATCATTGTATCGCCGTAAGGCTTACGACAGTGTACTGGTCCATGAACTATTAATTGTAGGTTTAGAGTATTAATTGGCCTGGGACAAGCCGTAGGCCGCATAAAATCTTCAATGAATTTTAAAAAGCTAAAAACAACACTTATCAAAGTTCAAATGTTTTATAGATAACAAACAGATTATACAAATAGAAGGTTAATCATGGCCATTAAAAACTCGCCAATGCTCAGAAGTGGATTTGTGAGTAACTGACAAAAAGCTGTTCATTTAAATCAAAGTTGCGAATACCTGTGATACAAATCCAATTGAAAGAAGAGATCCAACAAAAATTAAAGAAACAAGTCACTCAGTAATTGAGACAAGTCATAGAGCTGACTGCTGGTGACCTCAGATGTTAAAATAGTGAGTTCCATTAACAAAACATAACAGTCAAATGCCAATATTGTTCTTATAACTCTCTAAACAGAAATCATTGCCTTATTGCATCATTTTAAACCCTCTTGTCTTCTAGGTCCAAAAACATACCAGGATGTCAGAGCCAGTAGAAGAAGAAAACTTGAGGTATGAGCTGGTCCTCTGTTGTATCTGAGTTGTCATTTTGTAGGTCAAATTGATGAAAGCATCTTCTGACACTGGGTATTTATCTGCGTAACATTGGAAAACATGCAAGATCAGAAAATGTTGCAGAGCTTTTGTGTTAAAGTTATTCATAATTGATAAAAAGTCTCTAAATAAGAGAAGACATAGAAAATTTGTTCATGATACTGATGTTAGGCAGAAACAAATAAAATTGAAATAAACATTTCTTCCTTGTATAGTTATTTAATTTTTGTCAACTGTCAAGTAAATTTTCCCACACTATATAAAAAAAAGGCCTACATAGTGCTAATACAGAGACAAAAAAGTAGGCTACGATTAGGAAAATGAAAAAAAACAAACAAACCTGAATGAAAAGATCTTTAAAAAAGAAAAAAAAAAAAGAACGAAAACCTGAGGGTTAAATAATACTATTCCAAAGGCAACAACATATAATATTAAGAAAATACAGCTCCTCCCCCCCCCCCCCCCCCCACACACACACAAAACAAAATAGAAACAAACCCAATTTGTAATAAAATACAAAGATAAAACTAAACAAAATAATATAGCCCTAACAGCCACCTGACCAAGACATTCACCTGTACAAAATGGCCACTTCCCACTTTCCTCTTCAGTTTTTAAAAAAATATCATGACACTGTCCAAAACGTCCATCTGTCTAAAACAACCACTTTCCTCCTCATCAATGGGTGGCCCTCTTGGACAAGTCGACTATATAGTTTAAAGACAGTTAAAAAGAAACAACAAAATAATATTGTTGTGCTCATGGCAAAGACGTACTGGCATCCAGCAATGGTGTGACAGTGGCGTCACTGGTGGAGGCCAGCCAAGTGGTCAGGGCAGAAAACCAGGAGTCAGTGGTGCCAGTGTAGATCCACTTGCTGTTTGCCATGGCAGAGTCCATTGTCTCCACCTCTGTCTGCCTGCTCCAGTAGTTCAAATTGCCTGAGAGAAGAATAGTAACAATACCTTCAAATATATTAATTCATCAAGAAAGGATTCAAAAAGTGCATAAAATCGAAACACACTGATTAATTGATCCTACTATTTCAGCAGGCCAGCCCAAACACACTTCTTCAGAGAAGTAAAAAGCTTCTTGCTCCTTCATTTAGAGGTTATGGTCAGTCACATCACATCACCCACCAACCACCCTGAGAACACCTCAGGCAATTATTATTAAGCTGAACAAAGGGAGAAATCTTGAGCTACCTATTCCTCCCTCTCTCTCTCTCTCTCTCTCTCTCTCTCTCTCTCTCTCCCTCTCTCTCTCTCTCTCTCTCTCTCTCTCTCTCTCTTTCTCTCTCTCTCTCTCTCTCTCTCTCTCTCTCTCTCTCTCTCTCTCTCTCTCTCTCTCTCTCTCTCTCTCTCTCTCTCTCTCACACACACACACACACACACACACACACACACACACACACACACACACACACACACACACACACACACACACACACACACACATACCTTTAAAAAGACAACACAATACCCTCCAAATCAACCCCCCCAAACAAAACAAACAAAAACATGCACGCAAACAAATACACCCAGAGACTCACTCATACAAATAAGCAAATATGTGGACATCTTTTTGTTATGTAGGCATTTTCCTATGTACTTGTTCAACTTTACTTTTCTGATCCACGGGCCATCTGGGCTCTAGCCCTTCAACATGGTGTACTTGTTTAAAAACAATGAATATACATGTAGGGGCTATAAGAAAAATTTCTGAACCTGAAAATCTGTTCGACATGCGTTTTCACTTTGTGTGTGTTAGCTATATATGTGCGTGTTAGACTAGTTTTCAAAATGCCATAGTTAACTAGAAAATTATTCTACTATGCCTCAGATCACTTTGAAAACTTCCAAGTGTACAAGAATGAACTAAAAGTAGGTCTACATACCACAGTAAACAAAGCCGGAGGCACCATCATCTGGGAAGTGTTGCTCACTGGCTTCAGTGAAGGCGTACGCATATGAGTCTTGCGGCAAAAACCAGTTTGGGTTAAAATATTGCTCCAGTTCCACCAAGCCCCAGACATTTACACCAAACATTGCAGCAGCTACAGTCACCACAAAGATCTGGAAGGGAATGGTTTTGTTTGTTTTGTTGGTTGGTACGTATATTACAGCACTTGCAAAACAGTTAGGAAGGTCATATTAATATAATTGTCAAAGATTACAGGTGTTACAAGAGTGTAACAAACATTCAAAAAGAAGGAGAGATCATAAGGGTGATAGATGTTTTATAGGAAAGTAAGAGCAAACCGCACCAGAGCATCCGTCAACTACCCGTGAACAATGTCTGTGACTAATTCTTCATTTTGTGCGTTTTAGGTTAGTTTTAGTAAATGTTTAATGGCACCTAAAGCACATATAAGTCATAAATAAGTGTCTACTATTATAGGTGTTACTAAAAAGTAATAGTAATACTAGAAGTTTGTCTGTCAATGTCTTACAACAACCAATACATCCACAGAGGAGAACATTTATAATGTGAAATAGAAGAATTAGAAGAATAAAAGGTTGACAAGACCTATGGCTTTTGCTATAGCTGATGAGACCAATTGCGGCAGAGAAAAGTTTGCTACATCTGAACATTCAAAAGCCCCACTTGTTCTTGTGGATGTGCACAGCTTGGGGGTTTCTCTCTTGGTTTCAGTATTTATTTGTGAGGCCTCATACGACTTACTAAAAAGTAACACACCCAGTACAAGGAAAAGAAGGAGGAGAGATAAGGACGATACATGTTAGATAGGAAAGAAAGGGCAAACCATTGGCTACCAGAGCACCCACTAAACAGCCCCTTGCAGAAGGAGCATGCGAAACAGTGGTGAGAGTAAAGAAAAAGATTTCAATTTGAATAAAAATAAGGTGAGCTGACACAATAAAGGTCATCTCGAAATGAGCACAAAAGACAGACAAAAACAATAGTCAAGTAGTAGGACCTATTAGCGGATCCCTTCAGCCACAAACTAAAGAAATTAAAAGAAAAAATGACAAAAATGTAGAAAGAGAAAATACACCAAAGTGAATATAACACAAGCACATCAGAGCTTCAGTTTTAACTGCTTATTAAGAGAAACTGTTAGCTGAGTACAATTTTCATTCTTCCATCTGAAGGAAAGTCCACATATTTTATGCTATCTCTGCCTCAAGAGGCCAGATTTTAACAAGGATAAAACAATAGTGAATATGAAGCTGATGGGTAAGTAAAACTGGAATTTAGGTTTTTGGATTCTAGAACTAAGTAAGCTTCAAGGTCATTATGAAGGTTAATCCAAATCCAGGGAAGATTGCTTTGTGAAACCCAAAGTGTAAATATTTCTCTAAATTTCTACTCTTAGTTGTGTTTACGGAGAAAACTCACCTTAAAAGGCAGCTTGGTGATGAGTTTAGCTAAACCCTGTTTGAATACGTATGGAAGAAACTGCTTTTGGCTGCATTTATTTGGCCTGAAATGATAGCATACATTGAGGTCAGTGGAGGAGAGAGAAAGTTCTCAGGAACAGCTTATTAAATAAATATATTTACTTGATATATTTATAATATATCGTAATAAAAAGCATACGGAAAAACAAACAGATACACTCAGACCACAGGCATACACAAAAGCAAACAAACACACACATACACACACATACACACACACACACACACACATGCACTAACAAATATTTTGTGAAAAGTATGCAAAAAAGGACCAATGGAAGACAGGAAGATATCTACACTGAGAGACTTTTCAAAATGCATTTCTTTACTTTCTTAACTTTTTAACAGAAACAAAAAAAACAACAACACATAACCAACATCAAAGGAAGTTGACTGAAAAAGAATTTATTCATCAATGTTTTCCTTTGATGTTTCCTTTTAAAAGGAAGAGAATTTTGGAAAAGTAGTTAAGGTGATCATTTACATTGTAAGTAATAACAAAATGTTTTAACCCACTGGATGATAATATTACAAAACCCATTAAATTTAGCAAAAATGTGTAATATAATTAGCTGAAATGATCTTCAGAATATCATTAATTTGACACATTTTCATATTAGCTCATTTTAAAACCAAGCAGTTTCATGCAAAAAAGAATTTTTCTCAACTCAAGACTTACTCATAAGGCAGATCATGTTTCACACAACAGCAGCAGGCATTTCTGCCAGCTTCCATGCGCCGCAAGTCTAGAGTGAGACAGGCAGAGAAGAAGAGAGCTTGGAACACATACAGAGCGATGATGCCCACACCAGCGTAAATGCAGAAAGACCGCAAGGCTGGGATGATCTGTAGGAAGACAAATAAATATTTTTCAAGATGAAGGCTACACAAACCTTGGCTAATTTAAGTCGAAACAATTATTCATCATTTATTTAACATTTAACAAGTAATGGCAGAGTATTCCTTTCTATCTTACAGGCTATATATATTTTCTCATACCCCTCTTCGTACCTCCTTCTCACATATTCATAAATACACTGACTCACACACATCGCACACACACACACACACACACACACACACACACACACACACACACACACACACACACACACGCACACACACACAATTGAGGAGAGAGAAAGTTCTCAAATAAAGCTTATTTAATAATTATGATAATATGATTATAATAAACAGGCCTACTATAAAAAGCATACTGACACACACAGACAAACTCACATGTAAAAACAGCCTGAACACAAACACAAACACACACACACATGCACACACACACACACACACATACACACACACACACACACAGATATGGCTGTCTTTTACACACTGAACATGCCTTTCTTCTCTGGAGCTGATCTAAAAATCAACGTTCAAAATCAAAACAGATAATCCAACTAGCATTATCATTACTGGTGTCAAACTCAAAAAAGAGACAAAGGAATTTAAAAATAGCCAATATGTCATGATTTATTACTTACAGTAGTAGCTCCAATCATAAAGGCAACAAAATCTGTGAGGGAGGTCACTGTGATGGAGACGCCGGCATGGCGTAAGACGTCGGCCATTTTGTGAGGAATATCGTATCCTTGTTCATCTGGCCGCAGGTTGTTCAGGGCACCCATGATGACAAACATGTCATCCACACCGATGCCTGGAGGCAAAATAAGAGAGAGGCAAAAGATAAGTTCGTTCATTCAACAGTAGATATATACTGATCTTAATTACATCCCCATTAACATAATTTAGATCGTTTAGGAGGTGGGCTGCTAACCCGAGCAGATATGGGTACAGTATCCCAGCAGAAAGACAAACCTACTTGCTGCTTTCTGAGTGCAATTGCAAAAAGCTTATTTATTACCTTACCCTATGCCAGTCGAGCGAAAAAGTATTTAATTATACTAAAACTGTCATTTAACGCAGTGAAAAAGTAAGGCAGATAGATAGGCAGAAGAAAGTGATGGAGAATAAAGAAGTAGTAAGACTAACTAGTGTTTCACATGAACCACCCATGTTGGGTTAATTGAAAAGCCAGGAAAATACATTGTCAATAAAAAAGGCTGCGTTCAATGTCCTAGCTGACAGACTTTTAAGAGCAGCATTTTTTAAATCATTAAAGCAATCAATCCGGAACATACCAGTGGTAAGTGTATCAATACAGTGCATTATAAAGACTTTGTAACTATAACTTCCACTGGTTTGGAGGAAGTACCTCTGTAACGGTTATTCTAAATATTCTTTTATTAAAATATTTGAATGAAAAGCTTAATTCTTTGACTTGAGTTTAACTATCTGCATAAGCAGCTCTAAACTAAACTTACAATGTGAGCTTGAGTGAATAAACTTTATTTTGGAGGTTCTTTTTATTTCCAGTTGACAGCCAGTCAGCATACAAAAGCATACATTTATCCTAATATAATATACCTTTTATTAAAAGGAAATGATTCTAAAAGATTTCCCCCCCCCCCCCCCCAAATAAAGACAATTCACACCATTTAAGAGAAAAGCTGTTTAAATTAACCCTGCCAGCTCAGTTCAACTTGGGTTTAGTAGGATTAAACATCTCGACAGAAAAACATAAACACTTGATCAAATTATCTTTCGCATTTGGGAATCAACTTCACATCTTCTGTGAACAACAATGAAAAGCCTTACTATTACACCAAAGAATCCAGAGGTGACTTACCAAGCAGCAAGAAGGGAAGCACACTCTGAAGAGGTCCATAGTCCTGCTGGAAGGCTGAAGAGAGCCCGATGGAAACTAACATAGAGAAACCCACACAGATGAAGCCTCCGAGAGAAAGCCAGATCTGAGGGAATAATGATATTGATAATGATAATAATAATAATAATAATTATTATTATAATAATAATGATAATAATAATAATAATAATAATAATAATAATAATAATAATAATAATAATAATAATAATAATAATAATAACAGGCCCTAATAATAATAATAATAATAATAATAATAATAATGATAATAATGATAATAATAATAATAATAATAATAATAATAATAATAATAATAATAATAATAATAATAATAATGGGAATTTATATAGCACCTATTCCCTTGAAGGTTCTGAGCACTGTACAATGCAGAATTTTTCAATAGTAAAAACTGTTTTCATCCTGTTATTGTCTTTGTTATCGACAAATCTTTTTGAAGAGTTAAGCCCCACTCATTTCATGTTCATCAACTTCTCATTATTTTAATGTATTTCAGGTAAAAAAGATTGTTTCGGAACCATTAATTATGCTCTGCTGTTCTTTTCCAATCTATAACTGGTCATGTCTGAAAATGGTAGAGGTTTAACGCCCATATCGACACTATTAGGTCATTTAAGAGGCAGGACCTCAGAGTTTAACGTCCATCTCCGAAACAACCGAGCCAAATGGGAAATTCATGTAAAGTGCCTTTCCCAAGGACATAACGTCTGACCGAGGTGAGGCTCGAACCCCTGAACTTGCAATCTCATGATTATGAATCCGGTAGCCTAAGCACTAAGCCACCGATGCCACAGGTCATGTTTTTTAACACTCAGACATTGTCTTTTTGAAGACTCACCACTTATATATATTGAGGCAATAGCTAGGCACTAATAATAACAATAATAGTATCAATATTACTTTTAGTACCAAGGCTAATAACAAGAAAGAGGAGAAGTGAAAAAGAATTTAAAAAAAAAAAAAAGGAAGACAAGGATAAGAACGAGAAGGAAAAAGAAGAGCTAGGGAGAAGGGGAAGAGCAGGAAGAGTAGAAAAAAAAAAGAAAAAGAAACACATTTTCCAAAAATTTCATTTATGCAAGAGCATTTTGCCAGAATATCTATAAAAAACAAAAAAAAACCCTAAACTAAAATGCTTATCCAATCTTGTCTACTCACTCGCTGCTCCAACTGGTTAAACTTTCCCAGCACTAGGAAGACGAAGATGATGACAATAAAGTAGCCAATGGAGAGCAGCATTACGTCACCCTGGATAGCATCACCAGATTCATCAGAGAAGCTGAAAACGAGAAATGGTGACTATGACATGTTTAATCCAAACAATAAACTCTTTTTAGCTGAGATGAGTTTTTGAGCATAATCTACAGCCAGTTGACATAATAACATTGTTTCAGTAAGAGTTTTACGGCACTTGCAACACAATAAAGTCATATAAGTGCCCAAGATTAGAGGTGTAACAAGAGAGTAACAAACGTAAAAAAGAAGGAAGAGAGATCAGGACGATCGACATTTAATAGGAAAGAAGGAGCAAACCACACCAGAGCACCCGCCAACCACCCACAGTAAGATCTTTACAGCACTTGTAACACAATAAGGTCAAATAAGTGTCCAAGATTGGAGGTGTTACAAGAGAGTAACAAATACAGAAAAAAAGGAGGAGAAATCAGGATAAAACAAGTCTCGTAGGAAAGAAGGAGCACACCACACCAGAACACTCGCCAACCACCAAAACACATGATAACAGTCATATCTCACTGAGTTAAGAGTCAAACAGAAACACACCAATGCCACAAAGGTTATTTGACACTGGGAAAAAGCAAGCGAGACAGGAAAAAGGTAAAAGGGTAGTATATAGCCTATAGTAAAAAAGTAGAACTTATAAATAGCACCCTCAAACCATCCGCATATTTCACAAACAAAAGATTGGGGAAATGTAACACAGAAAAGAAGAAGAAAATTATTACAATCAGTAACAAAATCTTTTCGTCATGCATGAATTTCTTTATGTACATGTTTCAAATACAAACAAATACAAAAATGACGAACAATTCGGTACCTGAAAATCTGTTACTATATGTGTGTGTTTCGCGTGCATGCTAGTCTGTATACTCCAGCATACCTGCCACTCATTCACATTCTAGTTAGTAGACCAGTAAACCTTCTAACAGAAGCCCTTCAGCACAATTTTACAACAGCTCTCAGCAAGCAAGTTTTATATGCACTGTGATGGAATCATTCCAGTAATTTTGTCCTTTATAATTTTGCCAAACACCCTGTTCCAGTTAGTTGAAGCTGGCTAATAACAATAAAGCATTTTTCCTCAAGGAAGTAAAGTACTACCAAGTTCAGACGAGAAACAAATCCGTTTGGTTTTAGTAAGATTTTTACGGCACTTGGAACACAATAGGTAATATGAGTGCTGAATCAAAACCACACTCTTACAATATCGAGAACAACTAATGAACCACTAGTGTAGGGTATTACCTTCGACGAGCAAACACGTAAGTGGAGGCAAGATCAGCGTGTCCAGCCTGGCCCAGCTCTAAGAACTTGGCCTCCCAGGCTTCTGTTGTGGATTCCATCTTGCGAAAAGAAAAACGTTGGCAAGTGAATGATCCATACCAATATTATAGACAGAGCATTTTGTTTAGTTTTTTAGTCTAAGTTAAGAGATACAAATGGAGATGAAAGGGGCCATAGTAGGAATAAAAAGCAAGTGAATGACGACCACAAAAACTGAGACTGTTTGTTTAGTATATCAGAGTGTTGAGAAACACATGGACACAATAATTGTATTTTTGAGCTAGGGAAAAATTATGACTGATAGGCAGAAAAAACAGGGAGATTACAAAAGTGGGATCTCCAAGAGTGAATAATCCACAGTTCACAGGAAAACGGTGTGAGTGAAATAAAACAACTAGCAAAAATGTTCTTTTCCTGAGCATTGTACTGTGCAGCTCTATTGTTTGCCCTTACCTAAAACCTAAAATATTATAGCAAAAATAAAAATGAAAGCATTTCGTCAGATGCATCACATATTTTACAATCATTTTCAACAATCAGACACTGGTGGTGGTAAATCAAAGAGCACATCTTGTTTGAAAATGGTAAGCTTGCAGCTCTATAAATCCAAAAAGAATTATAATTAGAAGAAATTATCATCCGACAGATGTGGTGTTGGAGTGAATTATTATTATCATAATGATTCTCCTGATAAGATATTCTTTTGAAACTCGACAATTCTGTCCATGACGCTAAAAATAAAGTTGTCAATACTTTTTCCTTCTTTAATCTACTCACAGTTTCATTTCCTTCTGTCAGCCACACCATGGAGGCAGCTGCTGCTGCAGTGATATGTCCAGAGCTATTTGTCGTTCGCGACCCAAGGTAAGTCGTGATGTCAAAGGAGGAACCATACAGGGCACTGAAGGGTGAAGCGGGCAAGAAATATGAAGGGACTTCAGACAAATAAATTGCCCTTCTAATGAAATGAAAGTCCGAAGGTACCAATGTCCCTTGTCTTTACCTCCTTGCCAATACTTTACATTTTTTTTTCTAAGTTTCGGATTTACTTTGGCCCTGTAGGCAAACAATTTTGTCTGTCTGCTGCTCTAGTGATCTTCAATGTTCTTCAGTCTAGGAGTGATCTAAGTCAAACTAATATAAGAAAAAAAACCCAGTAGATTCTATGTCAACAATGATAAGTAAACATTAAAAAAAACTTTAAAATATTTCACATGGTTTTCCTCACTTGTAGTTAAATAGTAATGCCCGAGCAGAATGAGTAACAGCATAAAAAAGCAGTCCCATCTAGGTATTCCTATTCACTCATCATGACCCCAGAGGTAAGAAGGGAGATGCATGAGACCAAACTCACCTAGTATTGACATTATTGACAGCATCCACAATCTCATCCTGAGTCAAACTGCGGATTGTTGCGTCATTATAGGACCAGATCTCCAGCACGCTGTACACTAGACAGTTAGCCCCAGCCCTGTTGGAGACAGAGAACAGAGTTGAAGGCTATAGGGGATTATGTATGTTGTGTTGTATGGTGTGGTATGGAGAGGCATTGCAACACATGGGGAGGTATGGATTGGTGTGTTGTTGGTTGGAGTTGTGTGGATTCGTGTAGTGTTGGGAACGGTTAGGGGTGGGTGGGGGCATCGAGGTGGGGGTGGGGTGGGGTGTATTTGGTGTGAGTTCGTATAAGTTGGTAAAGTTTATTGTGTTGTGCTGCGGTGTGGAGGTGTGTGGTCTGGAGGGAAGTGTGAAACAAAGCAGAGTGAAGTGGCATGGTGTGGTGTGGTGTTGTATAATGTAGTGTAGCAAGGCGTGGCATGGCATGGTGTGGCGTGACGTGGTGTAATGTCGTGTGGTGTGGTTCAATGTAGTGTGATGTTGCATGGTGTGGTGTGATGTGTTGAGGCATGATGCGATGTGACAAGGCATAGCGTGAAGGAGATGAATGTTATGTAGTGTACTGTGGTGTTTAGCGGTAGTAGGTAAAGAAGCATGCTGTGCTGTGACATAAAGAAGTGTTGAGGTTAAGGGTGCTTCGTTCAGTAAAGACCAGTTGGAATATTTTTATGGTTTGCTGTTGTATGCTTTGGTGTATTACAGCTTTATCTACTTTTATCTGAAATATTGTGGACTGGTATGCTTTTCCATGGCATTTAGAAAGGTCAGTGGAAAGAAAGTAAAATGCCATAGGAAACTCAAGTTGCAGCTTCAAACCATGTTTACAGGCACTGTGTCACAGCACCCATAAACATTATAACAGCTGTACCAGTGAATTAAAAAACATGAATTGAATCTCAAGGCAAAACTTACTTTGTTTTAGTGTCTTTGACACTTGCAACACAATAAGGTCATAAAAGTACCAGAGAGTAGAGGTGTTACGAGAAAGTAACAAACTAAAAAAAAAAGGAGGAGAGATAAGGACAATTTATAGATGTTTGGTAAGAAAAAAGGAGCAGACCACATTAGGCACTTGCCGACCACCCACAAAACTTACTTGAGACAAACATCACTGAGAGTGATCCCATTGCTTGTTGATATAGTTGTTGAGTTCTGGTAAATGTCGAGAAGCTAAAAGAAGAAAAACCCCCCCAAAATTAGGAATTATAATTATGTACAAGATTGTAATTAGGAAAGGCACATGATCACACTACATAACAAATGGCTACGTTAGGTGTTCACATCAATACCTCATTCAGAGCAATAGAAGGAAAACAACAATATCAAGAATAAAAGCAATTAATAAACACATTTACAACAACAAATGTCCCTGTAATCTGACATCTTCTGCACACACATTTGCTCAACTGCAGTTGATAATATGTACGTGCATTGTCAATCACTGTGGCCCAGCAGGTTGTGAACTTTATCCACTTTTCAGAAGTTCAAGGCTCAAATCTGACAAAGATCTGAACTAGTTGTCCCCAAAATTTTAGGAATATTTCATGTCTTTGCACAGTGCCCTGGGAGAGGACCAAGCGATTGGACTTTGAAATTACGATTTCAGGGTGGTCAACTTCCACAACAACAACATCACCACCACCACCATTAACAACATCACCACAACCACCGACAACAACACCACCACTACATCCAACAACAACAACATCATCATTACCACACTAACAACATCATCACCACCACCACCACTACTACCACCACTAACAACATCACCGCCACTAACAACACATGCTACCACCAACACCACCACTACCATCACCAACAACATTAACAACAATAGGCTTACCACCACCATCACCACCACCAAAAACAACAACAACTACAGCAACAATTAATAATATTATATGAATGTTGGATAACAACAGAGAGCAAGTAGCAGATCATTGAACACCAGTGTAGATTGCCCTGGTTCAGAATCATAATTTGGGGTATTAGGAGCTTAAAAATTTGGCTTGTTTGGCAAGTTTTCATAGCATTCAATACATAACTTTTGATCCCATCAGAGATGTGCATTTTTTAACAAATCCAATCGTTTAATCACTTTTCAGTGTTTATAAGGCTACTAGGAGTTAAAAATCCAAATATACCATAACAGAAAAAAACCCACGAACGTCGCAACAACAACAACAACAACAACAACAACAACAACAACAACAACAACAACAACAACAAAGCACATTGCAGCAATATTGTATAATAAACAATGCACAACTTACGGCAGATATTCCGCTGGGAGTCAGGATGTTATTTCCTTGTCCAACAGCTATAATCTGCTCCCTCACAACAGTGGACGGGTAGTTGGCGGATATCCAGTCTTTATCTCTCAGCACCTGTGCACAATATGACAGTGAAAAAGTGGATAATTGAAACAAACGTTCTATTTTTCAGCTTACCGGCGTCTATGGGTAATAGGTTTGACTCTTTGCCTTGTAACTCGCAAAAAGGCATGTGTTCATTTATAACTATAAACCAAAGAAGGCATTAATAATTGTTATCGAGTAGTTCCGTCTTTCTCCCGAAAAACGTGTATACCGTTGTATTTTTGTATCCAGTACGTCCCACTTGGCCCTGATAAGCAACGTCGAAGACCTCGCTATCTCCATGAACTGATTCGAGTGTAACTGATGTCGAGTAAAGGTCCCAAGAGAGCCCTGTTCTCTTTATCAAAGATAAGAGCTCTACCTTCAAGATGTTACAAACAACCTATAGTGCGGTCAAAAATTCGTGGCGCAACTAATCGTCAAATATAATAATAATAGATAATAATAGATAGCATTTGTATAGCGAATATCCCCGCTCAACAGCAGGCTCTATGCGCTTTACACTATATTATTACCCCAGCAGACCATAGAACACTCCGAAACATTCTCAGCTTCCCGGGAAGCATACAGTGCGAGTAGCCGATTAAGCGCTCAAACACTAACAAACTGACAAGATCTTTCGCTGTCTATAGCCGGGTACCCATTCCCACCAGGGTGAAGTGAGGAAAATTCGTGTAAAGTGCCTTTCCCAAGGACACAACGTCGGGCCCTTGACGGGATTCGAACCCACGGCCTTACGGTTGCGAGTCCGAGAGCCTAACCACTAGGCCACCGACGCCACTATCTCCTCACCTATCGAACATAAACTCTTGAGCTTTTGCACATTGACTTGTATTAATTTGTCTTAACATATCAATATTTTTGTAAACACCTGTTAGCTCTATTCTAGAAAATTCCTTAATAAATACTAATAAAAAATCAAAGTGAGTGGTTTCTATTGTTTTTAAAAGGTTTACTTTAAAAGCAGGTCTGTCATGTTTTTTGTAATCCCGAGATTATCTTTATTGAACGCATGATTTGAGAATTTTTAGTGCAAAAAAGTGTCCACTATAACATTCATTTCTTGTAACTACTTTTGCCATTACAAAGGGCCATAGGTGAGCTGTGACGTAAGCTATATGCGTATGCAAAATGTGCGTGAGCAGCGGGAAGTTCTGTGAACAATTCCATTTTCCTCGTGAAGGAGATTTGTAGCATTTTATGAATTAATAAAGAAAGGTTTTTAAATCTAGCCTCAATTGTGGTGGGAAAATGGGATTAAGTTAAGACAAATTGATATAAACTGCTGTGCAAAGCGTGGGTGACAATGATGGGCATTTTTCTGTCCACCCGGAGCCGGTCACTTAATAACGACAGACGGGATTTATTTCACTGTCAACAAGGTGTTTAGTTGCTCTGCAACTAGGAGAGAGCCTCACAGCCTCTGTTCTGAGAGAGAGAGAGAGAAAGAGAGAGAGAGAGAGAGAGAGAGAGAGAGAGAGAGAGAGAGAGAGAGAGAGTGAGAGAGAGAGAGCAACAAGGAATGAATGGCATGGAAATAAAAATATATGTTCAACATGCATTTTGTAAAGCCACTTAAAAAATACAAATGAACGGTTTTAATGGTTATTTCAGCAGTTAGCACATGCTCATATCAATAAAAAGAAAGATTTCAGCAGAATTATTAATAGATGAGACTTTTCTGTCTTAATCACCAGGAATCATTTTGTAAATATAACGAGGTCATTTCGATAAAACTAATGCTGTATTCGATGCATGACCAAGTACACACTGATTTTGATTGAGTAGGTGTTTTACGGCTCTATCGACTCAATTTTGGTCCAAGTACACGAAAGTACAAGAGTGTAACAAAGGTACTGGAACTTCTGATAAAAAACATTACAGTTCTCCCAGTCCACACAAAACAATAGTATCTTTTGAGGTGAAAAGATTGCATGAAGTTCTGCCAGTTTAGAGGGAGAATTCGTTCGAGTAACAAAATGCTAGCCACCCCTGATCGGGTGGCAAGCCACTCCGTAAAAAGACATTTGAGGATAAGTTGTGCAACGAATTTTTGACCGCATTATAAGAGCAATGATTCAAGCTCGTTCTGGGATATGACGCTACTGCGTACGAACTAGGAAGTAGCCTAGAAATCTTTCTATTCCTACTTTCACATCTTATTTCTGTCCAGCTTAAAAACATCCAGACCATGTTTCATTAACACCCCCCTCCCCTCCCCGTACTCTTTCACTTCCCTCGCAAAAAATAATACCAATTGGGCAGAAAGCCAATCCATAAGCAACACAATCATACTTTTACTCACACGCACACACTAACATCATGCACTGACACCTTCAGTCTCAAGAGAAGACGTACCCATACCAACACACACACACACACACAC